TAATCTGTCGATCCCTACCACCTTAGCTCCCCCAGGAGGTAACCTGATGTGCGCTAAGGCAGAGTAGGCACCTGCTACCCAGGTGGCAGGTGCCTACTCTGCCCAATACAGTGTCCATGGGAAGAATGGAGGCAGCGATGTAGCTGTAATCTTTATGATCTTCCAACACTCTGCGTGCCTTGGGTCGATGCAGGGTGATGTCTCTAAATAGTGCCTGAGGAAGCAGTACTGGAAGAGCATGAAGATTACACAAGTGCCACACTGAACCTCAGAGAATGGATCCTCACTGGATTCCAGAGAATGGATCCACTCCAGCTCTTCTGAAGGTAAGGTGGCTGAGTGGACTTTAATGCCTCTTTGTGGAAATATGTGTGTGTGTGTGTCGGTATCTTATGTGTACCTATTGTATTATATTTTTATTTTGTGGCTTTTATACTTCGGATTAATAGTTCTTAACTCTTCCTTGCATACACAATATTCACATTATTTCATATATTCTATTCAAAACATATTCTTTATTAACTTTAATCAGGCTTGTTCCAATATGGGATTAACGTTTGAATTTAAATCAACAGAACTGACTTTATCGAGGCAGGGGAACTTAGGAATTAGGGGTACTTTTCTGTAAAAGGCTGAAAAACATTGTTTTAGGTGAATGCAGGTCTATTGCTGTGGGTTGGTAAAACAGGTCTATGGCTGTAGGGCAGGGGTTCCCAATTAATTTTTCCTGTGGAACCCTTTGACAGAGTGTATCAATGTTGTGGAAGGTGTGTGTATCTCTATCGGTGTGTATATCTATGTTTATATGCGCCAGTGTGCGTATCTCTGTGTATGTATCTGAAACACACGCACATAGTGGCACACAGATACACATACTCGGATACACATACGCAGATACACACACTTAGATGCACACAGTGACACATACACAAACCTTGATACACACACATACTCTCACTGACACACACACACAAACTCTCACTGACAAGCACGCATACATTCTCACTAACAAACACATACTCCCACATACTCACTGACAAGCACACATTCACTCTCACTGACACACACACACAAACTCTCACTGACAAGCACACATACATTCTCACTAACAAACACATACTCCCACATACTCACTGACAAGCACACATTCACTCTCACTGACACACACACATACTCTTTGACAGACACACAAACGCATACAAACTACCTAACAGACACACATACAATTTTTGTTTTTTAATTTTTCATCCACCCAGCTAAGACTAAGACAGCACAATTTGGACATAAAGGGAAGAACTGTCAAATACAAAATCATAGCACAAATCTTTTATTGGATTTATTTATTTATTTATTTTTCAATGACAATATAACAATTACACCATATTACAAACAGATATTTTCATACAAAGAACGATTCTCACATATCGTACTTTGTTACAGATATACATAAAAACATACGAGGACAATTAGAACAGCGCAAATCTGGATTATATCTTCTTTTCTATCCTGGGTTTAAAACTTGTGTCAGTCAAATGTGTAATAGAGGTCTTTCTAAAATCTTAATCCATTTATCCCATATTTTATACTTCTCCATATTAATGCAACGTTTAGAGGATATTCCTCTTTCCATTTTACATTGATAAATATTAGCTTCTTGTTGCCAAGAATCTATTGTCATCTTTTTCCAATTCCTGGCAATAGACATTTTAAAAGCCATCAATGCATGAATTAAGAGACATTTCTCATCTTTCGCTAATTGTGGTAGTTCTAAATGTAACAGTACCATTTCTGGAGCCCATTTTTGTGTAATCCCTAATAATTTATTAATTTCAGCTAAGAAACAATCCCATGCTCTCTTAAGCGATTTACAATTCCACCATATGTGCATTTCATCAGCATGTGAAATTGATTGTCACTCAGTTTTGATTCCTAAGTGCACAGTTTGATTTCACAGAACTGTGATTGACTTGGAGTTACATTGTGTTGTTTAAGTGTTCCCTTTATTTTTTTGAGCAGTGTATATAAAATTGAAGGATTTCTAAATGATGCAAGGAATCATCATAAGGGAGGTACACCTGGAAGCAGCAATTATTCTGGATTGTTAAGAATTATTGTGGTTATGAGGGCTTTCTATAAAATGTGGCTTGCCATTCTCAAAGCAGAAGAGGAGTGTGTAAGTAAGAGCTTTAGTTGCATCTTATTTGAAAGGAACGAATGTAAGACTAAGACAGCACAATTTGGACATAAAGGGAAGAACTGTCAAATACAAAATCATAGCACAAATCTTTTATTGGATTTTTGATGCACAAAGGAAAAAAAAGTGGTTGCTGTGTTGTGAATGAGTAGTCAGAACAAACAATACCAGTTTTAAATTTTTAAATACCATACTTTTCCCCTTGCATCTAGTTTTCATCCGTGCTAGTGTGTTGTTTCACCTCCTCTCCCCTACTCGCTTGTCTGCAATGTAGCTGTTACAGGGGAACTGTCAATTCTACAAATA